AGATCTTTTTTTTAAAACTGTGTTAGATGTTAACAGTCACTAGGTTCAATGAGGACAGGTAGAAAGTACATCATTTTGGGCCAACAGCAGGTATGAATCAGAGTTGTGATACTTGGGACCCAGGTTCCAACCCAGCCAGGATGAATGAGGCAAAGGCAACACAGGAGCTTGCTCGACCCATTTCCTCTCTACTCTGCACGAGCGATGTCTTTGCTGCCCTTCTGTTGGTGTGGATCTGGCTGTCATCTCTCTGTCTGGCCCCCTGTGGGTGGTCATTCCTTTTGGACTATTCCTGTGGCTCTGATGCTGCCTTCCTCCAGCGCCACCTTTGCTCCCTGTGTCTCCTGCGTGAGGCACAATGACGTTGAGAGAGCGTCAGCCCTTCCCTGAGAAGTCATCCCAGCAGAAAGAAAGAGCCTCTGACTCGGTAGCTCTAGCTAGAGTTGAAGAGCTGGCTTCCCTTTGACCCTCAGCTCGCTTCCCCATTGGCTCAGCCCACAGCCCAGGCGATTGGCTTGTTCTTCATGAAGCTCAAAGTTCTAGGGCACATGGTTTTAACCCTCACCTTTTCACCCAAGTTTGTTGGGAAGGTCAGTAGTGCGGTACTTTTTGAATTCAGAAATCTGGAGTCTGGATTGCTCTCAATGCAATGGCTGAGCTGTATGATTAAAAAAAAAAAGAAGAAAAAGAAAAAAGTTAGGCCAGGAGTTGAGCAGCCCCAGTGCTAGTCTTGTCTTTGCCAAGAGTCACTGCACCTGACTGAGACAGAGTGTAACTTCTTGGTCAAGTGGGCACTCTGTGCCTGAATCACAGGGGGCTGCCACTCTCAGATGGAAGAACAGATGTGGGAGTGACCGTTCAGGTAGGAAATGCCCTGGGGGAAATCTGGAGCCTCTTCTAAAGTTCTGCAGCAAGGGAACAGCTGCCTCACAAGGAAGTGAGCTCCCCAGAGTGGGAGGAAATAAAGCAGAGACCAGTTGACTGGGTGCCCAGGATGTTATGAAGGTGGAAGACTGGACTAAGAGCCTATACTCTTTCGTTGGTTTCCCAAGACGATTTTCCTGGCTTTTGCCAAAGGTGATGCTTCTTGGCACTGACCTGGAGTCCTCACCTGGACTCTGCATCCTGTGATTTTGCCTCAAGTCTGGAGCGCTGGGTCGCCAAGTGGCAAGGTCCCTGAGCACAGGGCACTTTTCTTATCTACCCTCCTCTCCTGGCGCCTATTCCTGAGCTCCTGACCTAGCGAAGGTTCCAGAGTGTTTTCTAAATGGTTAATGGCATGCTGGCTTCCTTGATCTCAGTTGCGAGCCTAACTCCTGTCTCAAATCCGAAGTGACCTGACTCAGTTATAAAACCTGTTGGGAGAAGGGGAGGAGTCCCCACGATACTGACAATGAATGTCATTTGAATCTCAGTTTTATCATCCGGTGTTTTGATGTAAGAGAATACAGATTCAAGGCAGACATTTCAGGCCTGTGAGGGTAGCTTACGGAGCAAGGACAGATGGAAAGACAGGATGGACACGAGACAGCCCATCAGCCAGCCAGCCGGACGGGGAGGCATCCAGCAAGGCTGCCAGTAGTCGAGAAGCCCCAAGGAGCTCTCAGCCCTTATCTTGGCAATTTCCCTAGTTTTGAGGTCGCCTGACTAAGCAGACAGAGAATCATGGTCATTCCATGAGGGGGCTGCCTCTTTGGAGATGTATTCATGGTTCATTTGACAAAGCAAAAGCAGGGACTAACACACCCCAAACTGATTTTGTTGGTAAACATCACCCAACTGTTTTCTTATTAATTTACCTTGGCAATACCTCTCGATTATGTAATTATGTGGGATTTCAGACCCATATTTACTTCTATCCCACACACACCTTATGTTACCTCTTCTTTCTACTACCATATTGAAAGGACACACTTTTTTTTTTTTTAGTTTCTGCAGAACCTCGAATAATCATATTGTCAGGTGAGACAGACGTCTACTCCGAAACCCTGGGTGACTGGAGAGTGCAGGGGAGAGACCAGGGTTGGGATAGGAGGAGCTCATGACCGAAAAGGGAAGCAGCGGAATGGGGAGCTCCTATTCAGCAGATAAGCAGTAAGCAGGCATGTTCTGCCCACAGGAAGTGCAGGATAGATGTTTCTGGAAAATCTAGAAGATATCTGGAAGAGCTAGAAAAAGCAAAGTGGCAAGTACTTAGTATGAAAGAACATAGTTTCAAACAGTCACATTGCTTCTTAGGGAGGACTGGACAGTTCTGGCCACTATGGTGCTCCGATCAGGGAAAGAGGGGAAGTTGAATCCTCTCCTGGGGGAAAGAGGAGAGCGTTAGAGACAGAATGGGGGAAATTCATGAACAGAAGCTGAACAGTATACTGCAGCTCTCTATAGAGCGTAGGTACAGGGAGGACATCTAGGAGATTTTTATCTTAAGCTGTAGGTACAGGGAGGACATCTAGGAGATTTTCTTCAGCTGGATTCTGATTCATTTTCTTTGGTTAGGACTCTGAGAATGGTCCCAGAACCAGCAGCATCTGCATCACCAGGGAATTTGGAAGAAATGCCTATTCTCAGGCCCTAGTCCAGACCTGCTGAATGGGACATTACCTCCCAGTGTTTTAGCAAGCTCTACCATGTGTGTGTGATGCCCTCCAAAGTTTGAGCTGTGCTGGAGATGTAGGAAACTCAGGATGTGCCTTCTCTTAAAAGCAGCCCGCCTCCACCGTTCCTCCGAAATGCCATCCCAGTCCAGTCTCCTGCATCCAGGCTTGGAACGCCCGGGGTCCCTCCCCGCAGTGGAGCAGGGCGGGCATGGACCGACTCACTCAGGGGCCCTAGTCACCTAGGAGCTTTGCAGACAAGACGGTTTGACAGCAGGTAGAAGTCGAATGTCCTGGAGAAGACAGCCCTTTTTCTCATTTGCACAAGGGCAGGATTTAGTCCAACAGTGGGGCTCCTTGCGAGGCTCTCTTCTCCCCCTCTGCTTCCCAACCAGTCGTCCAGTCCTGCAGCTGCCCTACCTGCGGAACCTACCCGAATCCACCCGGATGTCCGCTGTCCTGACCTCCACTGTCAGGTGCCCTGGCCCTACATCTTAGGTTGCTACAGTGACTCCCCTACCCTACCCCCCGCCCCACACGGCCGCCGTGGGTCTCCCTTGCTTCAGTGTCCCCCAGCCCCATCGTCTGTCCTTCTCCACACCGCCCGGCACCTGTCCCTCCCTCCCCACGGCACGCCCCCTCCCTCCCGGGCATGCTCAGCGCCTGCCCGCACGCATGTGCAGACGCGCGGGGCACAAGAACCTTCGCCAGCTGGTTCATTGCGCGTGGGGTAAAGTCCACGCTGCCCAGCCTGGTGTCCTCTCCCGCTGGCCCCTCCCTCTCCCCAGACTTATCTCTCATGAGCCTTCATAAACCCTCCTCCCCAGCCAAACTGGTCCGCTGGCAAAACCCCGATAAGATAAGCGAGTAAAATTGGAGCCGGCGAACCCGGAACAGGTACAGGCAGCCACGCGGGGGTCAGGCGGGGACAATTTCAGAAACTTCACACGCTCAGGGGTCTGGACGCTCTCGGGCCTTCGAGTTCAGTAACTCCATACTGGGATCACGTGGAGAGGGGTCCGTCCTAAGGGCGCAAGGACTCCACGGCGCTTTCTCTGTACCTTTTCCTTTCCGTATGGGCTTTGGGGAGACTTTGTGGTTATTTCAGCTAACTGAAACATTTTACAGAAAGACAGCCAAGTGCTTGGATGATGGGGACAAACCTCAATTTATCTCGGGTGCTCCTGCAGAAAGCCCGCCCCTTTACCTTCCTAACCCGAAGAGCGCTATTGCCATCTGGTGGCTGCTACCTGAAACACAGGCATTCATTCCTTCCTTCAAGCCTGTCACCAACACCTACTGAGTGACAGGCAGGCTTTCTCCTGGCCACTGGGGCTACACTGTAGAAGCTCAGTCACACGCCCTCTGTTCTCAGAAGGCTTACATCTAGAGTACAGATAGGCAACTAGTCAGGCAACGTCAATGGAGAAAGCCTGGGATGGTATGGCAGCACACAAAAGCACAACTCATCATCGTGGGTAGTCCTGGAGGGCTTCCTTGAGGAGGTGACATCTGAATTTTGCAGACAAGATGGGGGTTGGGGACATGAGAATATAGAATGGCACAAGGCCTGTCATAACTCCAGTGGGCAGGGAAAAGGCAGGCTGGGACCTCATCACACAAACCAGTGTGGATTAGGAGGGTGGGGGGAAGGTACTACCAGTAAAGCCAGAGCTTGACAGAATGTTCAAGGTACAAAACTGACTTCTTCAGGTGGAGCAAATATGTCTGATTCACATAGTCCATTTGGGGCGTGGGGAGTTGATTCAAGCAGGGCCACGTCTTAAAACAGTCTAGTTAGGCAAACTAGTCTAGTCTAGTCGGTTCTGGATGAGAATCTTATAGACACGGCTCTGACGGCTTCACAGAGCTGTGGGCAAGACTTCAGCACAGAACCGCAGCTGACAGCGAGTGCCATGGGACATGGGCTTAGCTGGGGAGAGAGCCAGAGCACCGCCAGACAGCAGCATCCTTTCATCTTACAGGCTGCTTGCCCTTTGTCCCTGATCCTGAACTGACTATTGGGTTTGGCCTTTTTTGGGGGGGAAGGGGGCTCAGGCATGCCCCCTTCCACCCTGTTCTAGTAGCTGGCTTCCCCTGCAGAAATCGTTGGACTGAGAGCATACCCAAGATGGGACCTACCTGAGACAGGAATGCTATGTGTTCACCAGACTTCTCTCTCTCCATTTCCAGCCTCCTCTGCAGGTAAGTGCGGCCACGTCTGAATTGTGGCCAAGGACATCAGGATAGCTGATAAACATGCCACTCCCAGGCCTGCCCTGTAAAAACCTTCCTCACACCTTTTCTCTTCCCTTTTCCCCTTCACCAGCTGGTTGAGGACGACCCAGCAGAGGCATCTGTGGAGTAGTGGATGGCGGGGCCCCAAAACAGAAGGAGCCTGAGTCCCCAGGTCACTGAGCGGAAGGCTGTGTGAACGCCCACATTTGGACTATCAGGTGAGTAAGCGGTAGATTCCTGTAGGGTTAAGCCCTTGAGACACAGGGGCTCCTTGTTACTATCCCTATTCTATCCATCTCTTTCCCTTCCTGCCCCCTCGGGATTCCGGTCTTGTCTCTGTATTGCTGTTTTGGGGCCTGGGATCCCACTACTGGCTCATGTATGTATTTCCTTGAAAGCACTGCTGCCAACACTCCTGATTAACTTTGGCTTTGGGATCCCTATCATCAGGTCCCACGCATGTGTCCCCATGCCCTCTTTCCTCGGCGTGGGGACTTTGCGGTACTGACTTGCTGGGAATACCACTGCGGCCACCCGTCAGACTCTGGATTCTGGATTCTGCTTGCTGGGTGGGCAGGCAGTTTGTCTCCACAAGGCCTGCCCCACCTCCAGTGATAGGAGGTGAGAAATGGCTGATCTGGGCACTGGCTTGCCTGAAAGCTCCGAGACTCGCCTTAAGGCAGTCAAGACATCTGCTGACTCCCACGTTCACAGGTGCAACACTGTGAGATCACTGACATGTAGCCACGTTCAGCCACGCGACATGCCAGGAGAGATTCGATGATAATTTTGAAAGTGCTAACATCTGATGAGCTGAGATCATGGGTGACACAAATTGATAGAGAAGCGGAGATATGAAGGACATAGAGTGGGTCATGTCTGATTAGCAGTATCAAGAGCGGCCTGTGGTCAAGGGCATCTCCCGCCTTCTGATGAAAGGCACAGTCAAGGTCTGAACGGTAGCCCGGCTTCAGGGTCCCCACTGTGTGACTGGGGCTTCTGGTCACCTGTGGATGTTAGACTGTCATCTGATGAGCTCCACACTCATTTTAATAGTGAAACCAGATGGGACAGAGTTGGCCTGAATAGCATTATGTTACTTTCCTGCTTGAAGCCTTTCCTTCAATGGCTCCCTGCTCCTTTTGGAAGGAGGGAGTACATTTTTCACAGGGCCCAGCAGATCTTAGGTGTTCTGACCGCTAGCTAGCCTCCTGCAGCTGCCGAAGACTTCCACTGGCACTTGCTGGGTGGCCCCCAGTCTTGCTGGCCTCTGTGATCTTCGGGCACACCCAGCATGGTGCCAGCACCTGGCACAGACTCAACAAAGAAACACTGATGGCTGCACTGAAAGGTACGGAGCCCTGAGAAACCACTGCAGTCTGGGGGGGAGCAGAGAGCGGCGATTGGAGTGGATCCCGCTCTAGATACGAGCTCTATGAGATTGGAGACCTGTAGCTTGTTTGCCTCACGAGGGTGTTCCCATCGCCCAATGCCGGCCACTTGCCAGTGCGTTCGTGGAGCCAGTGGAATGAAGGTAAGAACGGACAGGTGGGGCGCCTGCATGGCTCTGTTGGATAAGCGGCTCTTGATTTTGGCTCAGGTCATGATCTCAGGATCCTGGGATCAAGCCCCGCCTGGGACTTGGGGATCAGCAGGGAGGACTGCTTGAGGATTCTCTCTCTCCTTCTCCCTCTGCCCTTCCCATTGCTCGCTCTTTCTCTCAAATGAGTAAATAAATCTTTAAAAAAAAAAAAAAGTGGATAAAGGGAGTAGTGACCAGAATGAGAGAGACTTCACAGGTGGAAAAAACAGCGCTTGGTGATTAACTGGACGTGGTGGGGGGGGGGCGGGAAAGAAGAAAGAGTCAAGGATGAGCCCCAGTTTCTGACGTGGGAGCAGAGTGGAAGGAGGTGTGATTTACTGACATGGGGAGCACGGGATGAGGGTGAAGAGTTTAACGGGGGACAGAGGCTGTGACGACGAGTCTAGCTTTAGACATTTCGCATCTGTTAGCATCTGTGGGATATCTGGGAGCAGGGCACCAGCAGGCAGGGGGATGAATGTCTGAGCCTCGGCCCCGAGAATGGGGCTGGGAGAACAGATTCGGGAGTGACCGGCACACGGATGCTAATTAAAGCTACACGAGTGTACGCGCTCGCAGTGTGACAGGTGGTGTGGTCGCACAATGATATGTGAAGTATGGTCCCTGCCCTCACAAGTAACACAAAGTCAAGATGCGACATAGACCTTACAACTGTTCACGAACCCGTCCGTGTCTCCATAGCAACCTCAAGGAGAGGAGAGAGTTCTGTCCTCATCGTGGGAGGGGAAACCCGCACAGATGGCCGCTTTCCCCCACCCCCGCCTCCTGGTGCAGGAGGTGGTTTCACTTCATGCGGGTCCCCCCGTAGTGGCACCTGGAAATCCTGCTCCAGCCAGTGCAAACCTGTGTCTTCTCCCACCTCACACCTCTCAGGCATGGGACCGAAGAGATGACGGAGAAGGCTGCATCAGCCCTACCCAAGCCTCCTTCTCCCTGGTTCTGCCTCTCCATGCCCGAGGCTCAGCCACAGCCATTCTAGGGGTGGCGGTGATGACCCACGTTGCCAAATTCAAAGATGCTTCGGCAAACACCTCACTTGACCCTTCTGCAACATTCACACCCTTGGCCATTTCCTGCTCCTTCCAACCGTCCTCCTGTGGCTTTGGTGAAAACATCCCCAGACCGCATATGAAGTGCTTGCCGTGTGTCACGAGTTCGGCGGAGCAGCCACACGGGCACCCTGGTTTCCTCACAACCACCTTGGAAAGCGCGTACCGCTGTCCCCACTTCACAGATGACAAACTGAGGCATGCAGGGGTTCGGTAACTTTCCAAGCTAGAGGAGTCTTCAAGGAGCCGGGTCACTGGAAAACCAAGAGCTACATCCTCGCGCAGGAACACAGGGTCCCTCCTGCTCTCTCAGACCATCCCTCCTCAATTGCTTTTCAAGCTCCATTTGGCACACCATCAACCCCCGCTGCCATGCCCCCGCTTCCCCCAAAGTTGCTGCTCCTGGTCTTCCTCCCATGACCTGCTTTTAAACACTCGACCTGTTCTCTGTGGCCACGTCGTCCTTATGGCGGCACCCCCTCCATGTACAGATGGCTCTCGAAACGAAAAGACTTGCCCGCTTCAGAGTTCTCTCTTGACCCAGCTGCCTTCTAAAGACCTTCACCGGTGTGGCCACCAGGAGCTCAGCAGTCTCACCCCTGAAGCCACACTCATTCCCTGACACTTATTCCTCTTCCCCAATCCTTCTTGTGGTGCATGGCACACGTGGTCTCAAGCAACAGAGCTAGAAATTGGGGCGTTATCCTCAACAACCCCTTCTTCTTCACTCCCGTACTCCATCAATGACCAGCTATGGTCGATCCTGCCTTCCCAGCAATCCCAAAGCACAGTCTTCTCTTCCCCATTTCCAGCTCTACGGCTTTATTCAGGCTAGTATCTCTTACCTAGATGGCCAAGCGGCCTCTTCACTGGTCTCCCCATCTCAGGTCTGACCCATCCGATCTGCCTCCTGAGGGAAGTTTCTAAAAACGAGTCTCATCATGTTATTACTTGACTTAGGTCCTCCTCTGGCTTCCCATGGATCCTAGAATAATGGGTAAACTTTTTGGCATGGCCCACAATGGTTTGCGTGACCTGGTCTCTGAGTACCTGCCCCTTCTCCCTACCTGCTGCGGCTTCCTATACCTCAGGGCAAGAGTGAGCTGTGTTCTCTCCGCTAAGCACATTTGTCCCATTCTCATCACTTAGTGACGTCTCCTATCCAGTCTAAGATAATGTGTCATCTGTTCAAATTTTTACCAATCTTCTCCCTCCTGTTTTTGCCCACCCCTCCCACCCCGTACATACTTGTCACAGTATCTTTCACGCTGAGGACACTTACATATTTACATTTCTGCTTCCCTATCCTGGGAGGAGAGTTTGTTGGTGGCGAGACCTAGGTCTTATACATTGGGATTCAATTCCTGGGGCCCAGGGCTTAGCAATTGTTCAATAAGTGTTTGTTAACAAAATGGATGAGCCCCCCTCCTTTGACCCCACATTCTTAGAAATTGGACGGAGAAGCTCTAAGATACTGGATGGAGTTGAAGAGCTTGTTTTCCCCTTCCAAAAGGGGCCCCAGTGTCATCTGCAAGGAGATAAAACAGCTCACAGGTGCACACCATCCCTCCATCTTCCTTAACTGTAGCAGCTCTGTGCCCCAGGGGGGAAACATAAAGATAAACTGTATCACGACCATGGGCTGGCTTGGTGAACTATGCATTTTTAAGCCAAAATGTGACTTTAGATTTAAGGGCGAAAATACTAGGTTTCAAGCCAGAAGATGGGGGCTTGAGCCTGGCCTCCAGATTTCAGTCCTGTTACATCTCTGAGCTCCAGCCTCCCGCTCTCAGAGCCCGGGAATGAAAGCTCTTGCTTACCTACTCCTCAGGGCTGCTCTAGGCTGAAATGAGGTTCTGTGTAAATGTTTTCTGAACTTCTATGGTGCTGGGTCAGCCCCATTGTCCTTTCACTCAGGACCCTACTGGGCAGGGAGAATGTCCCCTGTGCCTCAGACTGCCCTGAGACATCAGGCTTCGGGCAGGCCAGCTGGGAGCCTTCAGCAGAAAAGGAAGGCACCGCGCAGACATCTGCATAGGCAGTTTTTAAACACAGAGAACATGGAGGAAATACCACAGAATTTATGGAGTGAAAGCTCTAAAAAGAAACACAAGACTTAAGTCAAAACAGTTGACTCAACTCTGGGGGAGATGTCTGCCTGGATGTAGGAGAAAAAAGGGATGGACTTGGGGTGGGTTGAGACAGAAGGAGCAAAGCTCTGTGGGGTGTCCCACCAGGTGGGGTAAGGGGGCACCTCGACACACAGCCCGAGGGAAGGAGAATTGAAACTACCTCTGGGTGGGGGGAAGCATCCACCAGCCTTTTTGGAATGCGTATCTTTGGGTGCCCCCCTCGCACTTCGAAGACTGTCGCTTGGGATGTCCTTCCCCAAGGCCATAGCGATATGTACAAGGATGTTCACGGCCGCCTCATTTGTAGTTGGGAATGATTGGAAACAATTCAAATGTCATTCGGCGAAGGACAGGCTGAATGAGTCAACATGTCTGATCTGTGGGATCCGAGGAAGCCAGTGACGTACATCTATCTCTAGGTGTGACGCAGAAGG